TGTAGCGTTTTAGTAGATGTTAAATAGTAGTAAAAAAGTAGAATTGTCCTTCCTTTGTTGTTCATAAACACATTTCCACATAAGAGTTAAAATAGTACCATACAATGTTATCGTTTTGATAGAGCAGCTAGAATATTAGAATCAGAGTTATTTTAGAGATATTAAAAGTGACAGAAGTCACAAATTAGGAATATGCCTTTGCTCAAGCTGCAACCGAGCTTTGGAGTCACAATAGTGTAAAAATAGGAATAGATAAATGCATCAACCATAGATGCTTTCAAAAATAGAGAATATTCTTAGCCAGTGCTAATATCAAATGGTAAAGGGACCATTTCACAAGCCTTTGCTTCAAAAGTAGATAAAGTTACTTACAGTTTTATGTACAGTTTTATTAGATACTGCCAAATTCACTTGTGTTCAAACATGAGTGAATGTTGACAATACAAAAAGTTCATATGAGTGTAGCCTAGATTAATGCCTAGATCAATGAGATAGATTACAACCAACAGAGATTCAAAAGCATTTTGATGTATTTGGGTATAGCCCACTGTCGATTCATCAGAACAGATTAGAGAATCAAACAGCATTGTAGAATAACTGACCCCAACCCCAAACCTGCTAAAATAGATTAGCTCTTGTAAGGATAATACTAATTTGATTAATGATGTACATTCATCCCAAATGCCTGACAATAATATCTTTAGATAATAAAAAGTAATAAATAACTGACCACTATAGAAGTGTAAATGTTGACCATTTGCCTTACTGTGTTCACAGTTTTATTCCTGAGAATGTAGAAGAGAGATAGAACAAAATCCCACTGATAATATGCCACTGATGAGAGTATAATACCACAGAGAGATGTATTAGATTAAAATGTATGTTTAAGAATATGGCTCAATAGAAGCAAATATACAAACATATTTGTAAATAGATTAGAATAGTTTTAAACTATAGTGATAGTAAAAGTAAAGTACACAGTCTAAGATTAAAAAGTGAAAATAATACAGTGAAATAAGATTGAGTGTAGTGTAAACAATTAGCATTAGAATAAAAGTATAGAGTAATAAAAGTGAAATTAGCTTCTAATTTGAGACTCAGCTCGTTTTTGTCTGTGTTTTGACTGAATCTGCTGAGTTCTTGTGTGTCCAATAGTGTTTGTTTGTTTTTATTTTTGATTTGTTTTTGTTTTTTTTGTTTGTTTATTTACTTTATATTTGGTTTATTTTTTCCCAGGATAGAGGATAAAATCCACTGATATTGATTTGATGATTATGAGTTTAATGCATACATTTTCTTTGTTTTTAATAATTTTTGAAAGTTTTTTTTTTTTTTTGATTTTTTTTTTTCTTTTTCCACTTTATTGATTGATCAATTTGAGTGATCACATGTGATTATGTGCTCAAAGGGGAGGGTGTTAGTATTAGATAGCAATATGGCCTACGTGCAGGACTGTACAAGGACTCTACAAGGACTCCATGTTATGACTATGATGTGACTGTCTCTTTGTGACACGTATGTCTTTCGATGTGTGACGTGACAATGACTATATAAACTGTGTACTGCCTTTATTCTGTCTGAGAGAAAGAAACAGAGTAAACCAGTGGAACTTGAGAGAAACTTAAATAAACTTCCAGAGTTTGGCGCACCGCGATCCGTCTCTGTCTGCTAAATCCTGACACTTCCATCCTAAAGAACCTTTTGCAGAGAAATGGACTCCCGCTTGCCAGCAGGCATTTGATGCAATAATTCAGAGGCTCACATCCGCTCCAGTGCTGGGGTATGCTAATGCAAAGCTACCTTACGTCCTTCACACAGACAGATTTAGATTCATTTATTTGCCATTTGCAGTAAAACCACATTGGAAAAACTGTGCAAGACTACCCCGGTGTGCACCAGACAGAGAAGACGACACACACCAGAGCTCTTGCCACGGCGCCATCTTTACGGCGCCATGCGACAAACAGTAGAATAAACAGCAGAGAGCAATAACATACAGTTTTACAGACAGTTGGATAGACACATTGTGCTTTGTATAAAGCACGGATTTTTTTCTCGGGATGAGCACCTCCGACAGCCGGCCAATGTGGCTGTCAGAGGGGGGCGGGGTCAGGGAGGGGGTGAGTCGGAAACACAGTGAGGAGTGGAGGGGAGGGAGGGAGCAAGATGGATAGGTAGAGGGAGGCGGGGGTAGGGGATCCAAGCTGGAGACTGAATAGTGTGAAATTGTTGTAGATAGGGACCTTTGTTATTATGGCCTTGGCCGAAGGAATGTGAGATAAGAGTGGAGAGAAGGCACAGGAGGAGAAAAACACATCGCCTCAGGGGGACAATATTGTATGCAATGTAGCAGTCAAAAGCAGGGAGATATTCTATTAAATCCAATTAATCCGAATTGCGGCGCCCTCAGACCTCCGTACACAGGGGCAAATCCAAGCCGGGTCAGAGAGTTCAAGCCTGGCAAACGATGTCATTCAATCTCAACTCCAGAGTTTTATTCCCTTCGAGTGAACGAGCTGCGAGATCTTTTATCAACTGTTCCACCAAAACCACTCTCCTTTGTCCAGACACGGCACTCTCAACCACGCCGCGGCTAAGCTCCTTGTACATCCCATCAATTTTGTCGGCCAGCAGGTCGTGAATCTTGCGAACTGCCATGCCTCCGAATTTGTGGTAGAAGAGAACTGCTCCAAACCCAAACCGGAGGATTCCCACCACCAAAATGCCAAAGAGATATACGTCTTCCGAATCTTCAATGGACAGGGTCGACAGACAGAGGGGCTGAAACTTGTTCCAGCTGTCAAGAGTATACCCCGCAGGTGAAGTCCCGTCCGGACACACGGGCTCTCCAGACACACGCTTACGTGTTGAAAAGATAGAATCAATTGCGTTGAGGGACCAGTTAATCATTTCCATTATTGTTAAAGTTGTCTGTGGCAAAACTCCAGGAAAAAGACAATAACAGGAGATAGCAAGCAGTCAGAAGCAGGAGCGGTCTGAGACACGTCTTTGCTCGACAGAGGCGGAAGTAGAACTGGGCGGGGTGCAGCACTATATCAAGTCCAGTATGGGCAGTCCCGTGTTATAGCTTATGCAAGCAGAGGATTATCACGCAGTGAAGCTAAGTACCCTGCACACAAATTGGAATTTTTAGCTCTAAAATGACAATCACTGACAAATTCCACGACTACCTTTACGGCAACACCTTTACAGTAGTCACAGATAATAATCCGCTCAGGTACATACTAACCACTGCCAAGTTAGACGCTGCCAGCTACCGCTGGTTGGCTGAACTTTCCACTTTTACATTTGACATTACCTACCGAGCGGGCAAGCAGAATCTAGATGCCGACGCCCTGTCCAGACGGCCTCATGGAGAGCTCATCAATGACAGTCACTCTCAAGAGGAAAGTAAAAGAATCAATGACTTTACATCTCATCTCAGTCCAGAAAGCATCTACTGCTCTGCTGACGTTATTAAAGCAGTCGTCCAAAACCATTTCATAGCAGATGAAATTACTGCAGAGCTTGCTCCCTGTCTTGTCGAGTCCCTCGCTATCCATCCTGAGGCAATCCCAATTGAGTTTGAGGAAGAGGAATTCCAAAATGGCTTCTTCACAGTTCCTAAACTTGGTGAAGGAGAGTTAGCAAGATTACAGAGGGCAGACCCTCTCATCAATAGAGTTATGGAGTTGATAGAATCAGGACAACCTGTTCCGACCAAAGCAGAGCTGGAATCAACTGAGAGCCGATTGATGTTCAGAGAGATGAGTCGTTTCGAAATCAAAGAGGGGCTGTTGTACAGACGACGGCAATGTAACAATGGACCGTACTTCCAACTTGTCTTGCCAAAACCACTGCGTTCTTTTGCTCTCACTAGTCTCCATGACGAAATGGGGCATTTAGGTATCGAGCGTATCATTGACTTGGTCAGATCAAGATTCTACTGGCCGAGAATGGCCATGGATGTAGAAGAAAAGATCAAACATTGTGAGCGCTGTGTGAGAAGGAAAAGTCGACCAGATAAAGCCGCGCCTTTAGTAAATATCCAGACCAGCAGGCCCATGGAGTTAATCTGTATGGATTTTCTGTCCTTAGAGCCTGATAGTCATAACACCAAAGACATCCTAGTTATGACTGATGACTTTACCAAGTATGCCACCGCTGTACCTACAAGAGATCAGAAAGCCAGCACGGTTGCCAAGTGCCTGTGGGACCAATTCCTCTGTCACTATGGGTTTCCAGAGCGTCTTCACAGTGATCAGGGGAGGGATTTTGAGTCCCAAATCATAAAAGAGCTTTGCGCTTTGGCCGGTTGCCGCAAAGTGAGGACCAGTCCATATCATCCTAGAGGGAACCCAGTAGAACGATTTAACCGTACACTGCTGAGTATGCTGGGAACCCTTCAAGCTAAGGACAAGACCAGGTGGCGTGACTTCGTGAAACCCCTTACTCACGCATACAATTGCACAAAAAATTATGTTACGGGGTATTCACCATATGATCTCATGTTTGGACGTCAGCCAAGGTTGCCCATCGATATTGCATTTGTATTGCACCTGTCAAAAATGGCTCACTTCCTTCTCACTCACAGTATATTAAGGGTTTGAAATAGAAGTTGAAAGAGAGCTATCACATTGCCCTGGAAAATACAAAGAAAGTAGCTACAAAGAACAAGCAAAGATTTGATGCCAAAGTGAGAGAGGCCACACTTGAAATGGGGGACAGAGTCCTTGTACGGAACCTCCGCCTCCGCAACAAGCACAAGTTAGCCGATCGCTGGGAACCAACAGTTTACATTGTACAGAAAAGAGCAGGAGACTTACCCGTCTATACGGTGTGTCCAGAAGGTCGAGATGGTCCCTTGCGAACATTACATCGTGACCTACTGTTACCTTGTGGTTTCCTGTCAGAACCGCAAGAGGAACAACCAGAACCAAAACAGAAACCCAGAACACGACAGTTTACTAGAGAAAATGAACAAATCGTATTGTCAGAAGATGTCCTCATCTTCTTCTCAGATGATAGTCAATGGCTTCGTCCAAAGGAAATTACTATTGAAACAAGACCCCCGAGAGTATGTGAAAACTTACCTGAAGGAGAAAAACAACCTGAAAGAGAACACCAACCTGAGAGTGAAAACCAACCTGAAAGTGAAAACCAACCTGAAAGTGAAAACCAACCTGAAAGAGACAACCAACCTGAAAATGTTGACAATCTATCTGAAAGTAACAACCTACATGAGAGTGAAATGTTACCTGGAGGTGACATCAAACCTAAAATTGTCAATCTACCTGAAACAGAAACAGCAGAACATGTTGAAGAATCAGGCCCTGTGAAGAGGCCTCAACGTCAAAGGAAACCTCCCATAAAGTTTACTTACACCCTGTTATATCCCTCATGCAAACCTTAATTGATGGTTTTAACAACGTTATTGTTGATGTATTTGAAAATAATCTGTTAAGAGAAGTACATGAAGGGACTCATGTTATGTAAGGAGGGGAGGATGTAACCCAGGTGTAAAACCAAATTCCTAATTTAAATGTAAACCACAAAGGAATGGCTAACATATGTAAGTACTAAATGAAAATGTGTACTTTGTTTATTTATTTATTTGTATATGTGCCAACACAATGCACTGTAGTGCAGCATATAAGTTGCGTAGCAACAACCAAAACGTTACGTTCAGATCCACGGTGTACGCGACCCCGCTTCCCCTCTCTGACCGGAGTCAAGCAACGAGACACACGCAGCGAGACACACGCAAAGCTCAGCTCCATCATTTCAACAATTCAAAAGCGCAAATCAGAGGAAAAATGACATCAATCCAAGCCAAAAGAAGAGTCCTGTTGCTGGCCTGGAGTTAAAGTTGACTGATCAGTAAGAGTTACTTTGTAGTGACCACCGCAACTTTAACGTCCGCAAATGACCAACGGCCGCTACACTAACGGACCTCCTCACTGTTTTAGAGCAGAGAAAAGAGAGAAAGACAAGCTGAGCGCAGATTCCGACACCGTTCCGCAAAGGAACGAGAGAGGATTGGTAAAGAATTGCTTGATTGATGATGTGTTGGCTGTTTGTCTAAATGTTCTAACCGGTCCATATTGATGACAGAGGCAGTTATCTGCGCGAGCGCTCACATCCAGAGCCGTGACGTCACTGTGTCCCGGCTCATACGCGCGTGAATCGGTGAGAAATGTTGTCTGTGACTAAAATGCTATTGTTTATTGTTTATTGTATAAAGGGTTGAAATAATCCTATTAATGGTTTATGTATATGAATAATTAGAAAATGTTTGCATACAGAAAATCTCTTTTTGTTGCTATGTACTGTACATGAGAAATATGTTGTACCTTTGAATTAGAATTAGATTAATTGTCATGACTGGAGCAAGAAATGTATTAGCCTGTCTTTTTAATACAGGTCAGGTCTTTTTAAATGAGATTTGGAAACATCTTTGAAGAAGACCACTAGATGGCGAGCCACCCCACCTGAGCCAAAACTGGATGATCCCATTGCAGACCGCATGAGCTATCGGCTGCGTAGGGCCGTGTCAGCTGACCACCTTGAACAAAACTTTAAGTGCACTCACAGACTTTAAGGACTTATTTTTGGGTTATTTTAAAGGTGCCTATTTATTTTGTATTTTATTTTACATTACATTGTATTTGTGGTAACAATTCTTGACATAATTAACTAAATCAATTTACATTTAACTATTGTCTGTCTTTCATTGTGGCTATAGTTCCAACACTTTACATTTGAGCTCTTTAAGAACCTAGTCGTTCATGTTAATTCCAAAGTGGGTTACACTAACCACAGACTCGGGCGCATTACGTACGTCACGGTAAACTCAGATCCAATCGTTTCAATCTGCAAAAGGAGTTAAGCCCTCCCACCTGTAAACGGAGCTCAATGGAGCACCTCCAGACCTTAGTATGAAATGTAATTTGTACTATTGTTTGGTACAACCAGGCTACTGACATAGGTTGTGGTGGATACAACTCTGGGGGAGCTTGTCCTGCTATCTTCAATTTAACAGTGAGTCTCCGTGTGCAGCGGCCCATACTGCACCTCGGGGGAGTATTTTCCGTACCAGCGGTTAATCGTGCCATCTAAAATCCTTACGGTTAAACTACCATGGGCTTTTATAATTGCGATTATCGTAAAACTGGTTAATCTCAGCAACCCTAATGCCATGTGAGGCCATGTTGGTGTCATGAAAAGTGCTATTTGAGGACTATGCATTATGATTATTATTGGATACTGCATGATACCCTAACCCTGAGGGTTTTGTAATAAGCTAGTTATGTGTGCACCTTCAGTGCAGTCTATCTATGTAAGTGTTCACTATATATGAAGCATATGCAGTTGTTTAATGTTGAAGATGCGAGTTGTTTAATGTGAGAATGTGTCACGTTTGTGCCGCAATTTAATGTAACCACCTTCCGCGACCCGGCAACGGATGAAGCGGAAGAAAATGGATGGATGGACCTTCCGCGGCTGCTAGAGGGCGCCATTAGTCTGCGCCAGCACTTAGTTCAGGGAACTTCATTATACAGCCCTTTAATGCTGTTTATGTTTGTTCTGTTTATTGATATTCTTTGATTTGTACTAAATACGAGTGTGTATTTGAGAGAACATGCTTTATAAGAACATCACTTTTCTCTGTTGAAGTTATTGAATAATATGTTTGATTCATTCATTGTATCTGTCTGTATTTGCAGACTGTGTGTATATCAATCTGTGTATCAGTGGCAGCTGTAATAAACACTGGAGATTCAAACTGGTCTCTCCATGTCTTCCTTCCCTGCGTTCTGATCGACGCCCCATCTTGTCTCTTGTCTGACCCCTTCCAGAATTAGCACCATACAGTCCACCCTCTGTAAGAAAACTGTTAATGGTATCGCTATCAGGGGTTTCCGTGTGTGCACGGGATGCACAGGGTCTCTGCTTCGCAACCACTGGCAGTCTAGGTAGAGAAGAGACCCGGCTGGGGCCCTATCATGAAGCCACCTGTGCCATTCCCTTAGATCATAACAAAGAGTACATAACAGAAAAACATCTGAAGTTAGTCAGTCTAATCTGGAAAATTTAATTCTTGTTCCGTGTAAAAATCAGCCGACCACAACCGCTGATCCTGAAACTTTGAAACTTGCTATGCTAAATGTCAGATCTCTTTGTAACAAGTCTTTTTTAATCAATCATTTTATTTGTTCTTATAATCTTGATCTTATGTTCATGGCTGAAACTTGGCTTGACCAAAATACAGGAAATGCAGTTTTAATAGAAGCATCACCACCAAATTTCAAATTTGAATCTGAAATACGGGAAAACAAAAATGGGGGCGGCTTAGCTGCCATTTTCGGAGACCACTTTGTGTCCCATAGAATGTCTCTTGTGAAGTTTCCGTCATTTGAATTTGTAAAATACAACAAAAACAATCTCCTCCAGTACTCTTCATAGTCCTATACAAGCCACCGCAGTCATGTCACAGTTTTATTGATAATTTTACAGAGTTGCTTTCAGTTGTATGCACAGACTTTGATAGTTTAGTTATTACAGGTGATTTTAATATTCATGTGGATAATGTTAATGACAGAAACGCAAAAGAGCTGAGTTATTTACTTGATACCTTTGGTCTCACATAAATGAAAATACGAGTGAACTATTTATGGGAATGATAAACTTTGAAAATGCATTGTATTCTACTGTAGATGAACTGTTTAACTCTGCCACCTCTAGTGTTTTGAATGTTCTGGATACCGTTGCCCCTGTGAAGGTTAAAATAGTGAAAAATAAGCAGAAGGCGCCGTGGGCTAAAGCAGACTCGGTCAGAGCACTGAAGAAAAAGTGCCGGAGGGTCGAGCGGAAGTGGCGCAAGTCCAACCTCCAGGTTGATTACGAGATCTTCAAAGATAAGTTGTGCGAGTTTAACCGGGTGCTACATAGTACGAGAGAAAGGTATTTTTCTGAAATGATTGAAGGCTGCAGTAACAATCTGCGTGTTCTGGTTTCAACAGTTAATAGATTAACAACCCCCCTGTTCAAATGCCATTAGAGTTTACTTCCAAACGTAAATGCAATGAGTTTGCACACTTTTTCAATGACAAGGTTCAAGGCATCAAAAACGACATTGTCTCCAATCCACAGATAGCAATCCAACAGCCAGAAAGGCTCTTTGAGCTAACTCACTTTGCACCTGTAGATGATAAAAATATCCAAGAGATAATCTCCAGTCTGAGCTCCTCCACGTGCAGCCTGGATGTACTACCTACTAGATTTCTGAAGTCTGTTCTGAGCAGTCTGTTACCTTCACTCACATAGAGAGTAAACATGTCCCTTCATTCTGGAATATTCCCAAAGGCCCTGAAAACGGCAGTTATCAGGCCCCTTCTAAAAATGAGCAGTCTGGATGCCACTGTACTTAACACTAGGAGCGCCCCTAGCGGTCAACTGACCGTCACTCACTTTAATATGCTAATTAGTGTATTCAAAACAAAACGCCAGAAGTTGAAATTTTATGACTTTTACTGGGTACTTGTTGTTTAAATTTTGGTGTGTTTTGTTTTTGGAAAAAGTAAAGAAAACAAGATTTACACGCATTTTAACTTTTCTAAACCACAGCCCTTTCTGCTGCCCCATAGGGATACATGGCGCAGGGGCGACTGTTGTCATAGTAACCTTTCCCGGGGGTTTTTCGCGCCTTATACAAATGTATCAATATGTTGTCATTAGACTCTAAAGGGACTTGAGGTTTTTATTTGGGAGAGAGAAAGAGTTTTGAATTGAGAGGAGTACAACATGAATAGAGCTGCAAGTACACGGTATGAAGCCCAGACAGTGCTTCAAGACATTGAATGAGAACAGTCTGACGGAGGTGAGATGTCACAGCGGGGAGAACACTTATAATATTCTAAATCTGAACGTAAACCCGTAGTGCATTCACGGCACGGACAGCAGTGTTGGAACAAGTCCAGAAGCAATAACACACATGACCCGCGTAATGCCAGCCATATACGCAGGTGTCTGTGTGCGCGCTGTTGCTCCATTCTGCCTTTTCATTCATCATCAATTACATTCTTATATTTATACATAGAAGAAGGCAATAAAGCAGAATACAATATCGCAATAAAATAGAGCAATTAGATGAACTATCAAGGCAGAGTGCAAATAGAGCGCTGTGGGCCTCTCGTCACCCGCGGACACCTGCAGGAGGAGAGCGACTGTGGGTCAGAAGCGGCCCTCATCATATCAATAAGGATATCTTTCTTATTTCATTCAGATAACACTGTGTGTTATTCTGCACAGCGCGCACTGCAAGGCAATGATTATAATT